GCCATGAGGTGTCCTGGCTCTTGCCAGCGTAGCGCTTCCGGGATGTTGTAGGGACTGATGAGTACCGGCCACGCAGCAAGCCTGCCATTCCTGGATGCGTGCGTGCTGTCACTGTACATGATCACCCCCAGCACAATGCAGTCTTCGTCTGGCATGCTGGCCTGTGCACGTTGAGAGACCGGTATGAGGACTAGCATACATTGAGCTGGGCGCAATCGTCTACAATGGACATACACCTCACCTGCGCTTCGTGGCACCACTTCCCAGTGTCTAGCGTGCTGTAATGTTGTACGTCCTCGGTGTCCTCCTCGTCCGTGCGCGGTTTGGTGACAAACCCCGCGATGTGCTGAAATGCCCGTAACAACTTCTTCACCAGCTACGTGTTAAGGGATGAGTATGACAAGCAGTAAATCTATACATCGTCATTCCATGGATGCGGAGTGACTCTGGTTTTTTCTCACCAGCTCCGTGTCCCGGTAGTGCAACAGCAGCGTGCACATCCTCCCTCTTGGTCCGTAGCACTTGACGCCCTTCGTCTTCCATGGGACCTGGTCAACTGGTGCCCTTTCGCGCCCAAACCGTCTAACATCCACGAAATTGAGCCACCTCCACACGTCCCTCAAAGAGAAATTAGGGTTGTGGAAAATGCTGAGCAGTCTATTCACCTCTCGTCGTGACAGATCGGCTTCGCGGAAGAAGATGTACAGCTCTATGAGAGTATTGAAGCCGTCGTCTATCTCTGACATAACACTCTCCTGCCCATCGCTCTCCTCAGCGGGAACTATGGGATCGTCTGATTGATCGACAACTGCAGCAGGGTCCACTTCTCCGCCCGACGCCGAAGCGCCTGCATTGCTGTTTGTAGAACGCACGGGTGTTTAGGGCCTGGCTCCGCGCCTGGCGCGGAGCGCGTCCCGATACGCCTCCACCAGCCGCTGGGCACGGGAGTGTTGAATCTTGCGCATGCATTTAATATTCTTAGACACATGCGACTGGAGTGTGTTGTCGTCAACATGCTCCAGTCCGCACGCCTCGCAGGCGTTGCCCAGCATTGCTAGAGCTTGTGCTAACCCTAACTTCTACCTACCGATAAGGCTGTTCGTCCATCGGACGGAGCAATATGTGCCTGAATGTTTGCAAGTGTTGCAGGTCTCTCCTAGCTCGGTTCCAGCGTATCCATCGCTGGTATAAACCGGTGATGTCCATATGACATTTGGCACGTCAGTTGACCGCTTTAATTGAAACTCAACGGCATGGTGTGTAGCGGTCAATTTAGCGCCAGGCTCGGTATCAGCTTGCCCAGCGAGCCGTACATGTACTGTACTTCCCACTCAATTGCCAAGTTCTACTTATGATTTTGTGTTTAGCCCACAATTCGTTCTGTCCAACTGTGGCCTTATATGTTCGCTATGGAACAAACGCGCTGAAAGTATCACTCACTCCTTCATTTCGGATACAGTACTATCCGCGAAATGTAAGTCCCTGGTCGGCGGTCAATGTACACTGGTCTCATCCGAGCCACTCATCCCAGCTGTTCCCCTCCATGCAGTCGGATAGTGGCGCCCTGTGTCCGAATGACGATACTCCATGTCACGTACGCAAGTTCACAACGGTGGTTAGGGTATTGATTACGTGGCGGATAACGTCCACGTAGGTAATGGCACTGTCCGTCATTAGAGCCCGTTAATCAGTTTCGCTTCCTTCTGTTATAACAAGTGCACCACATTTGCAAAGCGCTCATTCCCGCCACCATGGCTGAAATGGCCCTATTTCTCGAGGAGATACAGGCTCACCCTCAGGACGTGTTCTGCTTTGTGGAAGAAGCCATCCTGCCCACCAAGCTGCCCTTCCGTGATTCTGGTGATGGCCGAGTCGACCCGCGTCCCGACTGGCACCTCAACATTGGCTTTCTTTTCAATGCTGCCGGCACCGTCATGTGTCCGCCTCTGGTAATGTTTCGCCTAGAAGACGAGCTTGCGCAGGGCATAGAAAACCCAGCCGGTCATCCCGTCTTCGTCCCCCACACCATCGACGGAACAGTCACCCCCGAGGTGCGTACTGTCACGCATTATCTCGAGAACTAATGGCTACACCTTTTTACGACCGCTGTGACACCCCTACTGACTATACTTCAAACTCGTTGTCTTGCTCCTCACGAAGATATTCAGCGAGTACCTGGAAGCGTTGAACGGCGTCTCGTACTCCACGGACGACCACGTCATTGTCCTTGTAACAAAGGACTCCCACGCTACGACTGACAGTTCTGCGATGGAAACGACGGAACATGGTTTCCGCGTGCAGAACTTGAGCAACCTCTGTATCGTTCACATGCACGGCGCTGCACCACGGTGCATCCATCCCGGCCTGTGTGGGATAGTGGAGTTGTGGAGGATGCTTTATTATAGATGTTACCTGCGACATTTGATGCGGACTCCCGAGTGGCGCGCCGGCTCTGAGTTCCTGCTCCCGCCCCTGTTACACATGATTCGATGGATGGGGGTCTCGTGGTCAGAAGCCACGCCTGCGTCAGTCCATCTTAGCTGGTGGCGTGCCGGATGTGTGCCAGCATCATGGCGACTCGCCATCCGCGCGTACAAGAACCCAGTACTTAGCATCCAGTCTGAACCACTGGTGTTGGAGCTGGGTCAGCTGCAGTGGCTAATAGACGAGTTCAGGCCTCGTGGCGAAGGCCTCATGCATGCTACTGATTTTGCCCATTGCGAGCAGCTCCTGATACCCCCACGCGTTGAGCGTGTCGGTAACGAGACGCCCGCCTCTGTGGAAGACCCCATCATAACACTGAACACTCATCCTGGCCCGCTAATCAGTGACAGTCGTTGTCGCAGGCGCGTAGCACGCGTGGTCTCCGAACTACTTGTCCGTCATGCCATCTCTCTCGGCATACAAGTGCGCGACGCTCCTGAACGGTTTGGTGCGTCGAGCGCCGAAGTGGTTAGTCGTCTTCGCCGTACTCCTATTAAGCGTCCCCGACAGTTAGCTGCGACGGTCATCTAAGAATGTCGATGTCGCCTGGTGCTTGACATGATGCGGTATGATGCGCACGCCTAGTACGCTAGCTAATTAACGTGCTATCACTAGTGTGCCGTGAATCATGTAATGGAGTGTGTTTAACCTTTGTTCATCCTGCGCCAGTACGATTGTGAAGGACCTCTCGAGAGTATTATTCGGAAACATCTCATTTAACACTGCGAGTCTCATATTTAAACATTATACCGGGACTGTGTAGGACAGAAATTTGTGGATAGGGTTTGGTGGCCTCACAGGCACCCGGAACCATTCTACCGCTTTCAAACACATCTTCATATGATGGCATGCAGCCGCAGGCATGCCAACGCACAATATTTCGTGTTTATCATCTGCCGTGCAGTACCGCGTACGTCACATCACATTGCATGCAGTGAGACCGTGAATCCACATGCATAACCACACCATCGTTTACAATGAAAAAATGACGAGGGCAGTTTAAGCATGACACGTGTGACACCCGGACGGAGCTGGTGTTCCGCGCCAAAACGTCGAATCTGGACTTGGCACGCAGTGTGACTCACTGGTTGCCATGTACATCTTTTGAGTTCTTGTCAACACACAGACGCAACCGTCTGCGCGCACTCCCGTGTCTAGTATATTCTTCTGTTAGTCCGTGCGGACCTCATTTGTGGTTTCAGCGGCGGATCTATCCGCCTCTTAGCAGCGGAAGTCCTCTTAGTTAGCGTCATAGCCTGCAAGGGCACACGATGAACATACAGCATATGCTGGTGCAGAGAGGCCACTCTTCCGGTGCCGCAAGTACCCTGACAACTATGAAGACGGAGCAAGTGCGCCGTTAGCGCAAAGTGAAGAACGAGCCCCGTGCTGAGCGAAGGGTACAATCGGCGGCCAGCGGCGTAACGGGTTCTGGAGCAGCGACACCACCGCCACCGGATGACGTTGTTTCTTGCCTGAGGAACCTCAACTATCAGCGCGATTTTCAGACGTTGGCGCTGTACGGTCCCCATGGAGTGGGATGTCAGTTGACTGCCCAAGACGCTCTCACCCTCGCGGACGGCGAGTGTCTGGCGGACACCGTTGTAGAATTCCACAACATGTGAGTGTTCCAAGAATTGCACAACTGCATGGTTACTAACTGGATTTTGCCGTCACTGATTACGCGACTCACACGAGTGTTTTTTCTGTTTCAGCCTTCTAAACATTCGTCATCCGACGCTCGAGGGTGGAAAGACATGGTTCGCTCTCGATACGAAGGCCTTCGTTTACGCGACCTCACTGAACAAGGCGTGGCCGCTTGGGCATGCACCATGTATCTTCGCGCAGGATTACCTGGCCATCCCTGTCTATTACGAGTAAGTATTGGTTGGAGTACGGTGGTAGAAATATTACGGTTGTGATGTTGCTTAAAATAAGTCCTGATTCATGACTCTAATTACATCCGTTTTTAATATGTTTCAGGGGCCACTACTCCCTTGTGATCGCCATGAACCTTGGCGGCATGGTCAGCGGCAAGCTTTCTGAGATAGTAGAGGACAACGTTGAGCTGGTGCATTACGATAGCGCGGCGTTGCACACCAAGAAACCGGAAGTGATGGAAGGCGTCAAGAAGTGAGACATGCTCACGTTGTCCGTTGTCGTTGTGGTAGTTATAGTATTAACTCTTCTAACATCCTAACCGTCAACGATCTATGCAAGATGTTGCTTATGCTTCATACAGCTCAGCTGGCCACTGCTGACCGGAAGCAGGCCGTGAACAGCCTGGACTGTGCCGAAATCACGATCATGCATGTGAGTACAGTGTACATGCTGTTGTAGCTATGTGCCTTCTGGTGTGCGTACGTGTGCTCACGTTCCGTCTTACGCTCGGTGTATATGCCGTTTGGCAGCCTGAAGAAATCCCGACCCAATCGAACTCTGTCGACTGTGGGATACACGTGTGCATGTATCTCCACGCACTGGTGTCGTGCGGCTTCACCATCTTCAAGTTGTGGATGACGTTCTACGGTCAGAGGTCGTACACCTACAGGCGGCAGTTACGGGAGGAGGTGTCGCTGCACTCCTCGAATGACCTTGTGGTCAGTCTTTTTGGGGAGGGCGTAGAGGTTCCCTTGCAGCCACTCCCCCAGTTGGGTGAGTTTGGGGCCCTAGTGTTTCCCAAGGAAGACGAGGTGCGTACCGACCTGGCAAGGCAGTCCGGCATGGTAACCCGGATGGAGCTTGGGGGTTACGTGGTGTGCACGGCGATAACAAGCCTAGCATGCGTGTGTGGGATATCGGAGGAGCAGCTGCTAAGCGGTGCAGCCTACGAGCTCCAGACCCACAGGACTCCTCTACTGTCGTTGTCGACGTCAAAGAACCAGGTGGATCACGCGGCATCGATGAAGACGCTCGCCAGCTTCATCCATGCTACACCATGCCCGCTGCCGGTGCCATCATCAGCAGGGGCTAAAGACGATGTTACCTCTCCTAGTCAAAGGCCCGGGTCACCACCTGAAGCCGTGCCAACGAAGGAGGAACCCGAGAATCCTACGGCTCCAGTAACACCAGAAGCACCAGGTAGGCCTTGTCGGACTCGAAGGGCTAGCAGTCGTCTGGGAGGAAGGGAGGAATCACGCACAGTGCGTCAGATCAGTATGCAATCCGCGTACGGCAATCGCGACTGGGGTGAGCTGGTGTCCCCGTGGCCGTAAGTGGGGGGTGAAGATGGTGTGCGGACCCGGTACGGGAAAACAGATCAGGCTTGGTGCGTACAACGTGGAGGACGATGCGGCATATGCCTATGCTGCGGCTGTGTACGTGATCCGGCGCAAGGATCACATACCGCACATGAAGGTGCTGACTGATACTGAGATGGCAGCGCTGGATGGGTGTGTCAGATCGGATGTGAGGCACCTTGTGAAGGTTCGTCTGTGGTGGAGGAGGCGTCAGTGGAGGACAGCAATGGCAGAAGTGGGCATTGCACCCGGTACTCCCTTCCCTCTCGAAAATGGAGGTTCCCGCTCGCCTGCTAACAGCAATGGTGATGACGAAGGGGAGTACCCACTGACACTGAAGGAGGATGCCGTTGACGAGGAGATGCAGGAGCCAGAGCTGGGGTAGGAGCGTCACTTATTCCACTCGCTCTGTGCAGGCGTACGCATGAACTGCTATATGATCCCATGCTGGATAGGATCATTGGCTTGTAGCCTGTTTGTTGAGACGTTAACCTCATAGTGAAAAACGTGTGTGCGTGCTAGTGGTTGTATTAGCCTTATGTGTAAGGAAATGGCTAGGATGATAGAAATGTGTACACAAGAGCAATACATTTACTGCTTTGTCTGTGTTTACATGTAGTTATCCCACAAGGGATGTCGCATGTCTTGTGCACTATGTCTGCTGATATGTGTACTGATGTAGGCATATTAGAGAGGCACGGACTCGACGTCGTATCGAGGGCTGTGGATAATGTTGGGTACATCGAGTGCCAAGTGTGCAAACCTAGGGAATGACGAAACTAGTCTGGCAGCCACGGGCGAGCCACATGGAAGGAGACACGGCAGAGCAGAGGTCAGGATGGGTCACTCACTGCTTAAGTACAGACAGTCTGTGCCCAATGGACTAATTCCTGCCCACACGACTAGCGTCAATGGATAGTTTTACCGCAGGACCCGTCTCGTCCCGTGAGGGCAGGAGTCAGTGCGTGTCCCAGCCTCCAGCTTACCTGCGGAACTTTTACCTTCTGCCTGGCACAATTAGGCGTCAAGTGACGAAGAAACCTCGTCGGTCTCTTCCGAAAAACGCCAATGTGCAGCAGGCATGGGCTCCTCCTTCGCCCCCGCGTAAGTCGGCGTGTTTTATGGATTGGTTTTGGCATACCTGCGTTTAATTATGTGCGCTGCAATGCTTGGGGCCAATATAACTGAGAAGGGGGCTCGCCGAGCCGTTAGCCTGCGCCATGACGCTCACTGACACGAACTCTTCCTTGAAGAGTTAATTTGCCTTACATGGGGGGGTTAGTGTCTGGGCGAAGAGGTTGCTTATGGAGTGAGTAGAGATAATATGTAATTGAAGCGGGATATAAGAAGCACTATCGGGAATGGTCAGATACCGTCGCTCAAACTCATCGCGTACACAAACCCAAGTGCATGTTGAGAAGAGTATTCATAACCTCAAGAACCATACCGCGGAATTGCTACCGCTAGGGATGCGTAACGGCCAAAAGGAATCCTCCGATGTGAATAGGCGGCTCGACCTAGCGCCGTTGGATGCCGTGAGATGATGGCATCCGTCTGGGTGTGACGAACGTTTACAGCCGTAGATGGAGGAACCACGGTGCGACGAGTGTCGTCGATGTGTGGAATTGTGGACGGTAGGATGCATGCCAGGTGGAGGACAAATCCGTGCGTCATATGATTTAGGCCGTACAGGTCGGTGACGGACAACGGCATCCCGGGTGAACACGTTGCATAATTCAACGTGGGATGGGGGCGTGGGTGGTGCAGTATCGTCGATGCACCCAGGCGTGGACGGTGGGATATCGATATGCATGGGTAGAACAAGGGTCAAATATAAAATTACAGTCGTACACGTGGTCATATTTCAACGTCATCTGGCGCGTACACGTAAGGGGTCAGCCAGATGCAGACAGGAATTTCAACGAATAAGGCGCAAGCGTGTGTCACACATGGTGCAGCGGCATTGGGTACGAATTCTAAAAATCAAGGGCGCGGATACAATGTTGTGTTGATCCTCGTCGTTCACGTGCAGGCAGGTGATTGGGAGGGGCGATGCTCCGGAGCGCACAGTACTGTAGACTGTTGAAACTTGATGGTCGACACGATGACGTAATGCTCGCCAGATGTCGGGTCGACGTAAAAAACAGACAAATTGGGACATTTGGCAGATCGCACATTGGCATCCAGCGGGGTTACGAACGCGTGACGTGCACGTGACATAGCCGTAACATTTGCGTCACTTAGAAAGTGACGTCATTGTGATTTCAATGTGACATTTTCGTGACCTTTCCGTCACTTTGTATATGACGAGAACCCCAATACTTCCAACCATCACATTTTTATCCCAGAATTCCGTATACGCAAAAGTGACGGAAAAATCACAATTACGTCACTTTCGGCACTTGTCTTTTCCACGATGTTGATACTGACTGGGGTGGTGTCGATACCCTGCCACCTCTTGTTGAACGAGGTGGCGGTGAGCAAGAGCTCATTCTCCGTGGTCGTCTCGCCAACGACGCGGACAGTCACGATCTCCTTGCGGTGGCACCAACCTTTCGTACTTGTGCACTCCAACTGGTAGCACGCGCCGCAGCGCTTGCCAAAGAGGGCGGGAGGAAGCTTCGCGGTGATGATCTTGTGGAACGGGTTGAATTTTTTGTTGTATGCGCATGTGGAGTTTGCGTTGAATTTTCCTGGCAAGGCCTTGCTCTTCCTCGCCATCAGCCCCCCAAAAGTCAGAGAAATTTCTCTGATTTGCCTAAAAAACTTTGATATTTCAGCCTTTTTTCTTTGTGAACTCTGAAAGTTCAGAGTTTTTTTTGCTGTGAACTCTGAATATTCAGAATTTTTTTTTTTAGGCCTTGTCTGAAAATTCAGCCTTTTTCTTAGTGTGTACTCTGATTCATGAGCGTTTTAGCGGGTACCTACTCTCATTATGCCTATGCGAAATCTGACCTGACAGCCGCGATTAGGGCTGGAAGTACAACTTTGTCCTGTCAGTCTCGTTGAAACGGTGACAGCAGTTTTGCAGCGCCGTTATCACCTCGTTTTAAGGTGATCAACCAGCTTCACTACCGATGTGAATTCTGGTATATCAGACTTTTTTCCTCTTGAACTCTGAAATTTCAGCCTTTTTTTATGTACCAAGTCTGATTGATCTGACTAAAAATGTGTACTAAGTCGGACAAATCAGACTGCCCAAAAACGAATCTGAGGGCCTGCTCGCCATCGCCACTCCGACCGCACTACTATTACCAATTTGGATGGCATTTCTAGGTTTAGTCGCCTTAGCAGAAGCAGCCACCTTAGCAGAGACGCGGGCAGGCGTGGAAAGGAGAACCACAGAGCATAGTAGGACGACAACGAAGAAAGTGGTAATAGCGGGAGACATTTTCACTTATGTTTGTATTCGGCAAAGTGATGAAGTGAAGCAGCATCGGCAACTTTTAGTTATACTCCACAGTTTTGTGGCGCATGCGTTGCGTGTTTTGGTTTTGCTGTAAAAAGCCAGCATCTGTAGTTTGGAGTCCGAGTCGCACGAGATTTGCGACTGATGATTGTGCCGATCTTTGCGGACTCGCTTCACAATAAGAATTGCAGCGAATAAATGCGGTTTGAGAGTGCGAGGTGGCGAGAGTTGGTCGCCTTTCGCGAATAAGTTTCGATGAGGTTGCGACATGGTTCCAGTCGCGAGTAATAATTCCGCAATTCAACATTCGCAATTCAGGGAAAACCGACCTCAGCATCTCGCGCATGCGACGGCGCAATGGACGCGAACAGAGTGTCTCTGAGAGAGATACTTGTTGGAAACAAGTAACTTAACGCTTCTGAAGTATCGAAATATCGACACAAAACGGAGCAGACTACAGTGAAGCAACACGCGAGTCCACAAAAATAACAGCTGGAGGTTACGCGAAGGTCAAAGGTCACTGACCTTTGACTCGACGAAAAATACAGCGCGACAGCAAGGACACATAACTGACTCGATATTGAGCAGTTACCCGAGTCGTCACTGTATCGAACCGCAACAGTAAAAATAGTTAAAGTAAAACCTTTCATATTTCTTTGTAATCATATAAAGCCTTGTATCTCTCTGCTATTATCAACTTATCTTGCTCTCACATATTAGCGCAGGGTGGTTCAATTAATCTTATTATTACGTTTCCGCAAATTACAACATTCCTACTACAAAGGTCTTAGCCTTGAAAAAGATCCTAAGGGTTTTTCTCAGCCCAACATGGTATGAGAGCCTCCAAGGCAAGATCTATTACCCAAACTCCTACAACAACACAAGACATGGCAACACAGAAGGAGAGGAGCTCCTCCAACGGATCTCCCGGCACTACTCCTACTCCACCTCCAGCCTCTGGACTACAGACAGAGAAAGGCACAGCAACAAGACCAGCTGCGGAGTCTGTCAGAATATTGAAGGAAGGAATGACTGAACTAGCAAGCAGGTGGGTACAAGTAGGAAACCTAAAAGTGTTGTACCCTATATGAACTACCCCACTACAGCCTAGACAGACTATAGCATATAAGTTTGACACACCCCCATAGGCAAAGTGGGGGAGAACAAGAGGTCACAAGACTGGTCAAGAAAGACAAAGCAAGCTCAGGGCGAGCACAAGCAAATGGCCACAAGGCCAGTTCACATGCAGAGTTATATAAAGGAGAACAAGCAATAGAGCGAACACAACCTAGCAAGTGTAAGCATGCAGGTATATGTATAGAGATCACAGTACAAGCAGAGTCAAGAAGTAAGTAAGTGAGGCACAGTAGGTACAAGGCCTAGAACAGTACAGAAACGCGTCTCCCGGGCGCAACGTACTGTGCCAGGATGCTAAGAGGGTAGGCAAGGTCAGGTCGAGTGCAGGTCATCAGGTCCATGAGGCAGCCCACAAGCTCTGGATACGGGCCACTCGGCTCTACGGACTCGTTCAAAGGTGGAGCTGAGAGCGAGTGACCGGTAGGCAGAGGAGTGGACTGTGGCGAGGAGTACGTGAAGCCGAAGCGCTGAAGGACCTGCTGCACCATGTGTGACTGAGTCAAGGTAATGGTGCGCTGTGCTCTGTCCCGGGTGATCCGCAAGCCAAGATAGCTTGTCAGCTCACCCAGGTCTGTGCACGTGTGTCTCTTCTGGAGCTCCGACTTCAGGTGGGCGAGTGCCTCAGTGTCAGCAGTAGCAAAGACCAAGTCGTCTACGTACACGAGAACGTAGAACGGCGGCAGAGTGGTGTCGGTGCGTAGAAACAACGACGGGTCAGCAGTGGAAGGAGCAAACCCAAGAGCAGCAAGAGTCGTCCTCAGTGTGTCGTGCCACTCACAGGGTGCCTGGCGGAGACCGTAGACTGGCCGCCAGAGGCTCCACTGGGTACCTGCAGGAAA